TCAGAGACCGTGTGGTCAGGTTCTACCAGGCAGCTTCACCTCCTTGCTGCATCCCAGCAGCTAAAATTTTACAACCGTCTGATTGTTATGTAAATTCACATCTTAAAGCATTTCTTTACCAAACTATGGAGGCAGATTTAAGGTTTATTTGCAGAAATAGGATTTTTTTTGATTGCGAGGATTTCATAATGCTTTAGTTTGATATATGACACAAAACCATTTCAATTCAATTCATTTCAGTTTATTTATATAGCACCAAGTCACAACAGAAGTCATCTCAGGGCACTGAACCGAAACATTCATATATAAAAATACTAAGTTAACAGAAACGATCATATATAAAAATAACAAGTTAACACTATGTCTCTGAGGAGCAGACTGCTTTGAGTTTAACTCCATTGCAAAATTCTCGTCTTGAGCATGAAGGTGACAGTTGAAAGGAAAAACTCCTTCATGAGAAAGAAACCTTTAGCAGAACCAGGCTCAGGACAAGAGGTCATCTGCTTCGACTGACTGGGTTTGAGAGGAACAGATACACAATGGCAGGTCAAGAATCACATATTAAGATAGAAATAGCATCAAATGAAATTTATTCAATTTTAATGAATCATTTAAGGAAATTAGATCAATTTGTCCTCTTGTAGTCTAAACCTATGGCAGCATAACAAGCCAGCCCTAACTATAGGATTTATTAAAAAGGAAAGTCTTAAGTCCAGTCTTAAAACTGGACAATGTGTCAGCCTCACGGACAGAAACTGGAAGTTGGTTCCACAAGAGAGGAGCCTGATAACTGAAAGATCTTCCTCCCATTCTGCTCTTGGAAACTCTAGGAACCACAAGTAAGCCTGCAGTCAGAGAGCGAAGTGCTCTGTTAGGAAAATATGGAACAACAAGATCTCGAATATAAGATGGAGCTAGGTTGTTGAGAGCTTTGTAGGTTAGAAGTAAGATTTTGAATTCAATTCTGGATTTGACACGGAGCCAATGGAGAGAAGCTAAAACTGGAGAGATATGATCTCTCCCACTAACTCCAGTTAAAACTCTGACAACAGCATTTTGGATAAACTGAAGACTTTTTAAAGAAGTATTTGGACACCCAGATAACAAACCATTACAATAGTCCAGTCTAGATGTAACAAATGCACCAACCAGTTTTCCTGCATCATTTTTAGATAAGATGTTTCTAATTTTAGTGATATTACGTAGGTGGAAGAAGACGGTTCTAGTGACGTTGACAATTTCCATAAAAGTAAAACGCGAACTTCAGACTTATCTTATGACAGTGTTTTTGTGTATACTAAAATGAATTGTATGAATTGAGCTGAAAGGGCTTCATGTTTGAAGAACAGTGAGTGAACAAAGAACACCATCCTGTGTTTCATAAAAGCAGGCACAGCATGTATTAGAACTGTTTTCATGTCTGCATTTGAGTGAGCAGTGCATGTGCTCATGACAAGATGCTTTTATTTGTATGTGTCTCAAGTGGCTATTACAGAGGCTTCTTTAGGGCAGATATTCATTTATGCCATTTACACATTCATATTGTCTTTTTAGTTACTTTTTATTTCTATATCACCTATTGATGGGTCGGGTAAAACATTTTGTCTTAGCAAACACACCAAACAGAAAACCTTGTAATTTTAATGAAATTGGATTTATGGAATAATAAAATATCATGACAAATTAACAAGCAATTCATTGAATTGAACAAAGACAATATTGGAAGGTAAAAAAATTGCTCAGAAATTTGAGCAATTGTTCAATTTCTCCTGGTTTGTTTTCATGAATATTTACATGATTTAAAACTTGTCAGGAAGGTAATGACACAGACTGTCAGATGATAATTGTACTATTTTAAATGTGTTTGCCTAACCTTTTCCCAACAAATTAGTTGGCAAATTCTGTCAATCAAAATAGCAGACTGTTTGTTTTGTTGCATGAAGGGAAAATAGTATTCATCATGGTCTGGTATTTGTTAGGAGGAAGGTCAGTACTCATCAGCTGACTGATGTCATCTGTCAACAGGTGTTGGTTTAGTTTATTCCATCCATCCATCCATCCATCCATCCATCCATCCATCCATCCATCCATCCATCCATCCATCCATC